CTTCAAGCGATTCGTTGAAAATATCCGACTCAAAAGAACGAATTGTTCACCAATCGGACATCGCTACTTTAGCATGTGGCGCAGAAATTAGGCCTACTTAGTTTTCTGTAAATTATGCATTTTATGTGAACTAGCCTATCATTCGTATTGTTGCGTTTTCATCAGGCCTATGTTTCAAAATCGACATAGGCCTATAGTCAATTTGAGAATTTATTGTCATTAGGCTATTTATCGTTAATTTGTGAAATTATGAAACTACTGAATCTACTCATGGTGTGACACAAGTATTTGTCTTAAAGGGGTCATATGATGCGATTTAAATTTGTCCTTTCTCTTTGGAGGGTTACAAGCTCTTGGTGCATAAAGAAGATCTGTAAAGTTGCAAAGACTAAAGTATCAACATCAAAGAGATATTTTTTATAAAAGTTAAGAGTCAACCACGCCTACCTAAAATGGCTCATTCTAACACGCCCCCACATGTCTACGTCACAATGTGGGAAGATTTGCATAACGCCGCCCAAATGTTCACGCAAAGAAAGAAGGCGTAACTTTTATTCTCGCTGTAGTATTGTTGTTGCCGCCGCCGCCATGTCGTGAAGACGCTGTGTGTTTTGTTGTGAAAGACACTTCTAAAAGAGGACGATATCCGCTTCGTCATGCCTGGAACTGATCCGTGCGGGTCGCTGAGGAAATACATCAACTTTGCGCTGTGGATCGCCAGATCGGCTTTCACCGTGGAAGGTAAATGTGTAGGAAACTGAGATCTCATTAACTTATTTTGTGAGATTCCTCATCATTAGCAGGTAACAGTTCTGGTGTCTTGGTGGATCACATGTATCAGTTTAAGCAGCATGGTGCAACTACACCACACAAAGCAAGACTATTTAACATGATTCTTATGAAGATTTGACCGCTCATAACTATCCTGTGCACGGCTTGGGAGAGAGACCGAAAGTATAATTATAATGCGCAGGTTTTGATGAGCGTCTTTTTTCCCTCAGGTCACAAACTGCCATCGAAGTCAGGTGCTTAAATGGAGACACGCCAGCGAGATCTCAGTTCACACTTACAAAATCCATATGATGTCATTTACGAGGATAGTAAATGTCAGCCTGGCACTAAATTACTCTAACTACTGTCATATGCATCTGTGACGTACAGGTGAATTCCAATGAGCTGAACACAAGTCTCCTCACACTTGTAATAGACATCTGGCTTACTGGGTTCATTGAATATTGTGCGGAAATCAGATCAGTCAGGCGGAAAGCAATATGGCTTCTGCAAATTGATTTGGTGCTCAATTAATCATAAGAGCTAATGGAGCCATAACTCTATCAGGACACAAATATCATAAATTAAAGTTATATCATTATATGTAGTAGCTGCTAAATGCGTTTTATTGACTGTTTCCTACACAACAACCCATGACTAAAAGCCAGTCATGTGATGGATTTATTTATTATTAATAAATATAATTAACTTCTTGTTTTAATGTAAATTTTATTACAAAATGTTTATTAATAATTGATACAAATATTAATAACTTAAAAAATTTTAGTAGACAAACATGTAACGTTAAACACATTTTAAAATGGTAAAATGAAAGCAGGCATACGTGGTAGTTAAAATAAAAATCGAATACAGATTTGTTTGTTTTTTTGCACACAGATTTTAAGCACAATCACATTGCTTTTATTTAATATGCTAAACCCTATTTAAACCTGAAATTTTGCACCTTTTTCTGTTTGTTTGTGCTATTAAGACACAAAGTGTTTGTGTGTTTTGAGTAACCTAATTCAGTAATATCGGGGAAAAACATCAAGTATACAAACATATGGTCACAAATACTTCAATCGATCTCAAGGTGCAAAAGAGTTTTGCTTTCTGAGTGTTTTTTTTCTGTATGCCCATGGTCCATTGAGAAGCTAAATGATCCATCTATCTAAAAGGCTTTATGCAGACCTGATTTAAACAAATAGTTAGAACAGAGATCAGAGGGTTGTCTGAACTGCTCAGATTGTGCTCTCTCTAACGTTTGATTGAGAGATTTCAGCCCAGATTCACGTTCTGGCTCAACTGTATAGTCTTTGATAGAAATATCTCCCACTGTAGAAGATACTGCTCAGATCTTTAACCACTAGGCTGTATCACAGCATACATATCAAACATTAAGATCTTTCAGTCTGGTTATTTCATGTGCAAGAGGCACTTTCCATGAATTCTGCATGACTGCTTACGGCTACATCACTTTACACAAGGGAAAGAAGAAGAGATGGGCTCCCCCATTTTGCATTTCTCATCAGGGTCAGAACTGATTTAACATGCAGTGGATCTCTGATGTTGCTTTTGGTTTATAATAAAATGTATGAAACAGCAGTGAAAATATTGAATACTAAAACATCATTACAGCCACATCAGCCAATGCCACCAGAGACACACTGCTTACGAGAAATTATAATAATGGATCAAGAAGAGCTGCTGACAGTGTACCCTTCCCTCTATCTGATCATGAAGGTCGTTGCTGCCCTCAGACCCATTTTTATATGCAACATCAGTTTTTATGTGCCATTTAGGCAGTATGACAGCATAAATGAGATTGATGTCCAGGCTATACCTTTTAAAAATATTTTGATTGAAGAGTTTTAATTTGTCAGGTCAGGTGCATATGATGTTCACTTCAAAAAAAAGCTTTAAAATACTTAATTAATGATTTTTTATACATTAATTAAACCAGCTGGTCTAAAAAAATCTTTTAAAAATCCTGGGTAATTTTTTTTATCCAAATTTTGAGTTATTTATCACGGGGATTTTGCGTCTTCTTCAGGAGAGAGCAGTTCTAAGCACCATCGAATTGATGCATTTCTTTGGTAAAATACAGGTTTGTGGACATTTTACTTTATAAAATGTTTACTGTGCTGTATATCGTTCAATTTTATGCAAAGCATCATACAGGCTTGCGGTGTGAGTCAACTAAACGAGAGTCGGGCCGGTCTTTTCGCGTGATGGAAAAGCCTGATGCTTTGCGTAAAGTAAACGATTTTATTCATAAAGATACAGAATATAAATACTTTTGATGTTAAAATATGTCCTCAGAGCTTATTTACTCTGTTTATGGGCAGGTTATGGAGGCAGTAGCATATTTCGGCTAAGAGTGAAATGCAGGTCGGCGGTCTTAGCTATTAGCAGTTCCCCGCCGAACACGACTCCAGCTCGGGCACGAGAACCAGCGCCGTTACGGTGGAAACAGAATAACAGAGACTGGTTGATTACACGTGAATTACTTCTGTTTAATATTAAATTTTTACTTATAATGTTTGTTAAACTAGTTTAAATAGGCAATATGTATAGCCTACGTATTAAAACTGATATAAACAATACTGTAAATTATATAGACCTAAATAAAGGAAGTTATCATGCAAACCAGTGGTTGTGTGGAGTATTTTACAAAAGTTTAGAGGATTTAAGTTAATCTGTAAACATTATTTAATATCTGAAGTAAAAAATAATCTAGTATCTTATTATAGTAAAAATGAATCAACACATAAGCTGGGTTAAATCAACCCATTATGCTGGGTTAAATAAACAACCCAACTTGCTAGGTAAAATTAACCCAACGTGTGTTCTGTCCTATATTTACCCAGCCCTTGGATTAAAAACTACCCAAATTGGGTTGTTTTTAACGTATGTTTTTTAACCCAGTGTTTTTTAGAGTGAGGTTGAAAGAACAGTGTAAAATTAAATTTTGGTATTTAAATTCCAAATGCACAAAAACCCTTTATGTGATTTCCCAGTGAATTGTATCCTGAGATCCGACAACATTTGACCCTGAGAAAGCCATAAGCTTATAAATAAATAAATGGATCTTGTTAGCCAATTAGAAATTTAGAACGCAGCTCTCAGCCAATGGCGTGAGTCTGGGGCGGGATTTGTTGGGACTCATTAACGCGAATCGATTCTTTCGAACAGTTCGTTTCAAAGAACCGACTGAAATGGAGCGATGTTCAGTCCGATGTGTGCACTGCTTCAAGCGATTCGTTGAAAATATCCGACTCAAAAGAACGAATTGTTCACCAATCGGACATCGCTACTTTAGCATGTGGCGCAGAAATTAGGCCTACTTAGTTTTCTGTAAATTATGCATTTTATGTGAACTAGCCTATCATTCGTATTGTTGCGTTTTCATCAGGCCTATGTTTCAAAATCGACATAGGCCTATAGTCAATTTGAGAATTTATTGTCATTAGGCTATTTATCGTTAATTTGTGAAATTATGAAACTACTGAATCTACTCATGGTGTGACACAAGTATTTGTCTTAAAGGGGTCATATGATGCGATTTAAATTTGTCCTTTCTCTTTGGAGGGTTACAAGCTCTTGGTGCATAAAGAAGATCTGTAAAGTTGCAAAGACTAAAGTATCAACATCAAAGAGATATTTTTTATAAAAGTTAAGAGTCAACCACGCCTACCCAAAATGGCTCATTCTAACACGCCCCCACATGTCTACGTCACAATGTGGGAAGATTTGCATAACGCCACCCAAATGTTCACGCAAAGAAAGAAGGCGTAACTTTTATTCTCGCTGTAGTATTGTTGTTGCCGCCGCCGCCATGTCGTGAAGACGCTGTGTGTTTTGTTGTGAAAGACACTTCTAAAAGAGGACGATATCCGCTTCGTCATGCCTGGAACTGATCCGTGCGGGTCGCTGAGGAAATACATCAACTTTGCGCTGTGGATCGCCAGATCGGCTTTCACCATGGACGAAGCGGAGTCCAGCCCGGGGTCGTCACATGTGGTTTCCGCAAGCCCGCCGGCCGCTCCTTCATCGTTCTCAAGCCCGCCCGCCTCTGCTCACTCAAGCCAGCCTCCGCATACTCTAGGTGTGTGATGCTCTTTCGTTGTGAAAGCGAAACTACTTTGTTTGGCCTTCCAAAAGAGGACACGACTAGAAATCAGTGGTTAAGTTGTATTTACAACACTCTTTGACTTTGACGAGGGACTTTGAGAGAGCTCGCGGCAACCAGGCGGAGTCTAGCGTCGTCTTTGGAAACACGGCGTAGCTATTGTCAGACCAGCCCCTGGGCGGAGGATCTGGAGATTGATGCCTCAGGTTGGTTTAGTCCCGAGCAGAGACGTACATGCGCTCGGGCAGTAAGTGGACTGTAGACGGCGGAGTTAAAGACTTCAGAGACGCGCAACCCAGGAACGGATAGAAGCAAACAGACAGTATACGCTGCATTTTGTCGTCATATATGCTCTTCAGTTTTTGAAAGCAAGTGGAATCGGACACAGTGAGCGACACAGACATGTAAGATCTCTATCGCATGCTTGAATCAGTTTCTGACTCACTTTTGGACTTTCCTTTTTGTTTACATTTTTTATGGTTATTGATAGATGACTGACAATGTGTCCGTCAACTTTTCTTTTTACTAACATCAAGATTTTAGATAAAAATGTTTATGAACGCATGAGGGGAAGTATGTGCAATATGTGCATTACCATTTTATCTAATTTCATCTCATTTTTTTGAGGTCTTGTCACACAGCACGTAATAGATATGGATAATAGTTATGCTTAAAGCGACACAGACATGTAAGATCTCTATCGCATGCTTGAATCAGTTTCTGACTCACTTTTGAACTTTCCTTTTTGTTTACATTTCTTATGGTTATTGATAGATGACTGACAATGTGTCCGTCAACTCTTCTTTTTACTAACATCAAGATTTTAGATAAAAATATTTATGAACGCATGAGGGGAAGTATGTGCAATATGTGCATTACCATTTTATCTAATTTCATCTAATTTTTTTGAGGTCTTGTCACACAGCACGTAATAGATATGGATAATAGTTATGCTTAATAAAATTGACATATAGCCCATTTCAGAATTTTTTGTTAATTTATCATTCATTTGTTAAAATTTTGTAATTATTGCCCTATGCACTCATGGTATAAATTAAGTTTTTGTCATAAAAAAGTAGGGATGCACCGATATGAAAATTTTGGCCGATACCGATAACCGATTATTCTTTATTTTTGAAAGCCGATAACCGATATGTTGGCCGATAAATCTATATCCAAATTGTTATATACTTTTTGAGAGCCTGATTACAAAAAAGGTCTCATCATTAAAAGCCACATCCCAAACACTTCAACATAAGCAGCCTAGTTTGAACGGTGTACGTTTTAAAAATATTTTTACTCTCCCATTACCAAATTTAGTCATAAAAAAGTCTTACAAATAAATAAAATTATGCATAAATAATGCAAACAAGTCACTGGACATCATTACACGTGTAAAGAATCAAAATGAATGTGCCACAGATCAATAAAACGGAATAGCCTTTGCACGGACAATAATTAAATGATTTTAATTACTAAACCATATTGTTGATGAAAATAATAAGAGAAACATACAAGTGGTTGTTGTTATTAATAATGTATCAATGATTTTGAAAAAGTAACAAATTAATACCACTGTTTTAAATAGCAGTCGTTGAGCTGCGCGTGCTGAAGCTGAAGAGCTGAATGAACACGGTAACCTGAAGCGTTTTGCTGGCAGCTTATTTAATTCAAGGAAATGCATCCTGAGATTAATATTAATACAACATAAACATAATATTACAACTTATATATGTACAAAATGACGCAGTTATTGCATGCTATAGTCAGACTGTGTGATCCTGTTGTGGATGCGCTCTTCCCATATCAACGCGCTGAAACACGGCAACTAAACCCAAAGAATGCACAAGGTTTTTTTTTTTCTGCTGTTTGGGCTGCGTGCGCTGAGCTAAAGACGATCACCGGTAAACTGAAGCGCTCTTTTAACTTAACCAAACGCATTCTATATGAGATAAATCAGATATACATCAAATAAACACAATATTACAACATACAATTGCACAAAAGGCTGCAAACGAACAGCGCGCATCTGAAGTGTCTCTGAAGGAAATAATGCATTATTTATCGGCTTTAAGATATCGGCCAAATTTTCTTAGCAGGCCGATACCGATAACAGAAAAAATGAGCATTTATCGGCCGATACCGATATGGTGGCCGATATATCGTGCATCCCTATAAAAAAGATTTGTACACAAGCTTTTTTTCTCTCTCTCAATGTTTACCTTTCAGTTTATGCAATTTGAAGAGCTTGTCACTTCAGATTTATGGCTGGAAACAGATGTCCCAATGTTTTACTAATGCTCCCACACTTTTTTCTATTTCCTCAGGTGTAACCGAGCAGGAAGATGCCGGGAGGATCTAGGCCGGTGGGTTTAGGAGGTCTGCATGCACACTCAACCTGAAATTCGCGTCTATATGAAAGTTTGAGCTGAGCGTGATGGCATCTAGTCTTACATGTGCAGGCGTGGTGTGGGCCCTGTTGTCCTTCTTTTGTGCTGCCACATCTTGCATAGGCTTCTTCATGCCATACTGGCTGCTTGGGTCACAGATGGGTAAGCCGGTGTCATTTGGAACATTCCGCCGCTGTTCCTACCCCGTAAGGGATGAGGCCCGTGGTGGGACAGTTATGTTGGAGCAGTGTGGGCGCTATGCCTCCTTTCAGGGCATCCCGAGTCTGGAGTGGAGGATCTGCACGGTAGTGACGGGGGCAGGCTGCGGACTGCTGCTCTTGGTGGCTCTCACTGCAATCATGGGATGCTGTGTTACGGATCTAATCTCTCGCACCATCGGACGTGTGGCAGGAGGGATACAGTTTGTGGGAGGTGAGTTCAATTACAAGGAGCTTGACTGGAGATTCAGTGGATGGGTAAATGGTGAAATGGTTGGATAAATGAATGTATAGATGGCAGAATGAGTGGATTTTATTGGTTGGATGTATAGATGTGTTGTCAGAAGGATGGATGAATGGGCTTGTAAATGCATATTCAAATTAAACACTGCAACTTTATGAACACACTTTCATTTGCATCTTTCCCAGATGCAAGTACTTAGCAGCTCCTAGCGATAACGCATGACGACAACCGTATCCTCTTAGTGAAAGCCGGTGTGCTTGTTTTGACATTCTGTTGCTACAATTCATGTCATCCTGTGAGGAGTGGAGCCTGTGACCTCTTGTTGATTTGTGCCAAGACAGCAAACTTACACCATGGTGAAAATCAGTTTGAGTCTGTTTGGTAACTAAACAAATAGTGAAAAGCAAACAAGAGTTTCCTTTAATGTCCTTAGTACTGGTTGGATGGGATTGGTTTTCCAATCGGTGATTGAGTTACAGTTGTTAACACAGAACGTCTATGATTTCATGTACTGATTTTGGATGGGATGTACAATTACATAATTAAAACTAATTTAATTAAAAGGATAGTTCACACCAAAATTCAAATTCTGTCATCATTTATTCACCCTCATGTCGTTCTGACATTCTTTCTTCTGTGAAGCACAAAAAATATATATTTTGAATAACGTCTTAGTGTTATTTTTTTGGTCCTTACAATGAATGTCAATGGGATCCAAAAAACACTAGACCCCATTGACCTTCATTTTATGGACAGAAATGTTCTTTAAAAGTTGTACAGGTTTGGAATGACATGAGGGTGAGTATAAAATTACAGAATCATATCTGATGCTCCTACTACTGTTGCCTTTCTGATTAGTTTGTGACTGGGCTTTTTATATCAGATGCAAGTACAATACCAGCAGTACTTGAACCACCAACTGTTATTTTACCCAGATGGCAAGCTGAAGTCAGCCAAGAGGTCTAAATCCATCATGAAGGCACACCAGGCAGTGAAAAGAGAAATTTAAGCTTTAGTTACGGCATTCACCAAAGGTCAATGCAAATGAGGAGAAGCGTTGTGAAAAATAATATACCATAATCACACACATTCCTCTCCGGACAGTATTCGATTTCTCACAGGACTCCAAAGTTAGCCCGGAAAATTTAAATTGCTCAATAAGAGGAATGAGAAAAAAAGGGCTTGCTCAAACGTCTGCGAAGCACAAATTTACCTGACCTCCTCAGGGACGTGCATTGCAAATCCGGGCTTGCTCACACACACGCACAGGTAAAAAAAAAAAAAAAAGCAGGAGCAGTAGAATAAATTGGCTCTTGTTACTATCCTTTTACGAGATCTTTATATTTGAGAGGCAGTAACCGAGCTGCTTATGAAGCGACTGGCCTCGTAATGAGCAGAATATGAGGGGAGGAGGGTCCCTCACGGTCCCTCATGACTTACATCACCCTCTCTTCTTTTGTCCTGCCTCAGAGCAGTGACTTTGCTCCATTTCAGAGAGATGGAAAATAATGAAGGTTGATTATACATGACCTCTCTATGAGGGACTGTAGGCAACACTTTCTCTCTTTCATGTCTCTTTCATATTCCCTTCTCCTTTGTGCTCTTTACTTTTCCACACACACTTTGATACGTACACCTGCTTGCTTTGTGATGTTTTATTCAAGGGCAACTAAATATTTCCTGTTTGCATTTTTTCCTTGTCCTAGAAGTCTGGGACTTTGCTTTGTTTTTATCACTTGATACAGTAAAGACGATAGAGACTTACATATGGACTTACTAATTCTGGGACGGATGCCAGATGCCACATTGGTGTATCACTTCTTCAGTTTGCCCTTTTCAGGTGGGAATATTATTTGTTAATAGGTCAGACTTGAGAAGTATATTGTTGCCTATGTGTTCTGAATGAATGTTATGGTTCCTGCATCCTATTGGATTTCCTGTCACACCCATGTCTTGCTTCACAGCACCCGTTGCATGTTTGCATACGTCACGCACGCTCTCCTGAAAGACAGTCGGCTCAGTCATGTGTTTCATACACTGAATTTACAGTAGGATTTATGGGATCCATCTGGCTACTGTCAGAATCCTTGCCAATGAGAACCCAAGACCTTGAAATTAGTCTTTTTCGCTTGAGAGATCTGCCGATATGACTCAGTGGGATCTGGGTGTTTTCTCAATTACTCTTTAATGCCTTCTAATCACATTAGTGATATACTGAGGACATCCTTTCAGAACAACCTCAGCTCCTGGGAGATGTTTCTCACTTTGCTGTAATGACATTGCCTGATGAGTTTGTTACAGGTTGCGAATGCAAAATTCAACTGTTTGGATTTCTCCCAAACTTTCCCTCCCTCATTTAATGCCTTATGCCGTTATCAAAAGTCTGTTCTCTGATACTCTTTCTTATCTTACTCCTTTTTCTTTTTACTTTTGAGTATTTGCTGCACTGTATGCATTTTGCAGTAGAAGATGAAAAAGAATACATTAATTGAACCATAACTATGCCCACTAGAGTCTATCACTTTTTATTTATTTTTTATTTATTTATTTATTTATTTTTGCATTTTCTGCAGTGGTTGCAGGCAAGAATCTGCAGAGTTATTCTGTGGAAAGGATTTAGACAATAAAATATGATAAAAGAGATGAGATACTACACTATTAGTAGCTCATAGCATTATCAAATTTAAGAAAATATTCTAAAATTAAAGGGGTCATATGATGCTGCTAAAAAGAACATTTATTTGGTGTAATGAAATGTGTTTATGTGGTTTAAAGTAAAAAAAAAATTGGATTTGAGACGTTAGTCTTTGCAACTTTACAGATCTTCTTTATGCACCAAGAGCTTGTAACACTCCAAAGAGAAAGGAAAAATTGAAATTGCATCGTATGACCCCTTTAACATGCGATGTGAGATCAAATTTATATGTCTTTCTATGGACTTTCTGTGGAATTCTGCATGTGCTGATCCCATACAGGCACACTTCACAATAGGAAAGTGCAAAACTACATATTTTCAAAGGTTTGCCTTAACTTTTAATCGACTTATCAGTCTTAATAGAAGCCTTTGATTAGGATGGTTTTCGGCTCACCTGACAATAAGACATGTTTCTTAAGGAACTCTTAATAGTCAAATTTGAGGACCTAGTTGTTGGAGAACTAGTCAACCATTATGAATTATCACTACTGCATACGTACCAACTACCGTTCAAAAGTTTGGGGTCATTAAATTAATACTTTTATTCTGCGAGGATACATAAAATTGATAAAAAGGGACAGCAAAGACATTTATAATGTAACAAAAGATTTCTGTTTCAAATGCATGCTAAAAACTTTCTATTCATCAAAGAAACCTGAAAACGTGTATAATAGTTTCCACAAAAAATATTAAGCAGCACAACTGTTTTCAACATTGATAATAATAAGAAATGTTTCTTAAGTACCAAATAAGAATATTAGGAGGATTTCTGAAGGATCATGTGACACTGAAGACCAGAGATACGATGCTGAAAATTCAGGTTTGCCATCACAATAACAAATTACATTTTAAATTATATTAAAATAGAAAACAGTTATTTTAAATTGTAATAAAATTTCACAACATTACTGTTTTGTATTGTATTTTTCATCAAATAATTTCAGCCTTGGTGAGCATAAGAGTCATGTTTCAAAAACATAAAAAAATGACAGATCTCAAATGTTTTTGTATTCGTGTATATATGTCCTCTGTACTCACTTGTTGAATATCTTGTCTTCAGTTGTTTAAGTGATTAAAAAAAAGGCCAGTTCACGTTCAGATGTGACTTAATTACCCTGTGTGTTTCTGTGGGCCCTTCATTCCATAGTTCACGTTTTCATGCTTACAGTGGGGAAATCTTATACAACCTTACCCTGAGCAAAACAAAAATAAGTCAGGTGGCAACAATTGTGTCTGTTTGTGTGCTCGAGTGAGCTTTGAGATGTGACGTTTCAGTAATCCAGCCAGCAGCAGTTGTCTTACTGTAAGCTTTCACCTCTTGAGCTGTAAACTTTCAACGAAAACCAACAGAGGGTCAATGCACCTTGAAAAAAATGTGTATGATGTCTATCAAAGTTTGAATTCAGAAACTGCAACAATTTGGCACTTTGCTTGTATCTTTAAGTCATTAGGCCGCCAAAGTGTCACACTAATAATTAACTTCTCCAAAGTTGTCCTTGACTTTACGTCCAGTCACAGTGGACTGCACAACGTACAAAATTGTTGAAGCTGTGAAAGTTTGCCCCCTGTTTTCCCTCTGTTAGCTCGGATGTCACATATGTCACGTTTGTGTGCTGTGTAAATCCCTCTCGTTTAAATCTAAATTGACACTATTGAATTAGTCACACTGGAATGTTTCTAATTGCAGATACGGCCGGGTGTTGAGAACGGCTGATTTTCGTGTACATTTGTGCGGTGAACGGAAGCGTGTGTACGCTTGAGCAACGTGCCATGTGTATTTGTGGTTGTGTGGGAACAGACCTAGCTGAGGGTGTATACGCTGGTTTTAGCTGACCCGTGCCGACCCCTGGGCGCTTGGAAAGAGACGGATGGAAAGATGTGAGAGAGTAGGGTGGTGTGAATGAGAAAGACAGGCAGGATCCAGCTGATGGAGACAGCTGCAGCAGCAGGAAGAGACTTACTGGCTCCAGTACTGGTGCATATCTCTATGTCTCACTGTCAGTTTCTCTACTGTCTGTCTGAAAAATTTAGTTGACTCCTTGGAATGTTTGACATGTTTTTGGAATGTTGCTGGAAAATAGGAGAAAAAGAGTCTGAGAGAGTGACACACAGTGAACTGAACAGGCCAGAGGTGAAGAAATACTGTTCCTGTCCTTCACAGAAATCGAAGACCGTGTCTACCAGATAATGTCTTGTAAACTCGACACCATTGGGTGTAGCCCGTTATGATTGAATTTCAATCCACATTTTATCCTTCCTGAATGATATGCAAGAT